AAATATACTCTACATAGCCGTCCTACAAAAATAAATCATAAGTCTCAATTTCATATTCAATATAACCCGGGTATTAAGCGCAAAAATGTACGTTCAGCATCAGGTACTAGGAGCTATATTATTATGACCAGTCTCAAAATTAGTATCCATGGTGTTCATGTTGACAAAAACAGAGCCGGTAGTCATGAAGTAGTCCGTGGGATGGGAGCCCAGAGGATATTTATGCAATTATGTTTATTATTAACTAACTAATGACAAAATAAGCAAATTAAATATCAAAAATAGCTTACAGTAATTTTATACATTTATCAAAATATTTATTTTAAAACATAAACATATTTTATTTAAATATAACTTAAGTATCATTTTTTTGAATAAATTTTTATTAATATTTTCTATTTGAATGAATTGTAATCACGAATAAATGTTACCAAAGTAATGTGTCAAATATATTTAAAATTTTTGAAACTAAATACAAAACATAATTTTGAATTAAATAATTTTGGATACAATTTGAAAGTTTTCGGATTAAGTAAAGAAATGCATAATTTTTGTTATATAATGTGAGCCAAAATTATATACAATATTAATAATTTGTATAAAATGAATGAATGATTGGATGACTTTTGAGCAAAAATAATTTTGTTATAAAAACATGTGACAAAGTAAACATGGCACTTTGACAGTGAAGGTAGGGTATAGTTAGGGACTGGGAGGGTTGTGGGTATGTTGAACGTTTAAATGTAAAAAAATGTAAAATTATGTTTAATAATAGCACAGGTAGTGTAGAAGTTTTTTTAATAAGTATTGAATTTAGATAATTTAGTGATTGTTTATCAGGCACCGGAATATACCATAAATAACTGTGATATATATAGGGTAGTTGTGAGGAATGGGAGGTGTATGTGTTGTGTAAGTATATACTAAACTGTAAGTTTGGAAGGGCTTAAATTGTATGTCTATAATGAATTGGTGAGATATATGGCACCGGTATGTATGAGTTGAACAGAATTATTAATACAAAAGTACACAATTTTTGTGTATATTTCTCGTGAATAATAAAATTTTACAATAAATGTTAGCATGGCGTGAATGGGACGGGTATGATATGGGATAACTGGGGAGTGGAGGGTAGGTATGGGTAAAATGAATGTCAAATGGGGAGAAGGGAAGGGATTTAAATGTTTTTTATCACTCAATAATTCAAACAAAACAAAATACTTAACAAATTAATTTTTTGACGTCACATAACACTATCAATCAATTGCTTATTACTACTAATTTGCAAATCAATACAAATCCACAATTAGATGCCTCCATACCCTTCGACATACTCGACCCCACCGGCATACCCGCCCCCATAGCCAACCCCATGTTCGGCTCCATAGCCTGCGTCTACATAAGTGGGCGCCGCCTCCATAGCACTGACATAAGAGGGCGCCGCCTCTACTGCATGATACACTTTATGGGTTTGTTGCACTATAATAAAGTGCTTAATAAGCTAGGTATATTGTTGGCATGAAAAAAACTAATTACCCGGAACAATAGGAGCTTTGTGCACAATTAGTACCTTGGGCGCAGTGGGCACAGTGGGGGCACTTTGCACAATTATAACTTTGGGCTCAGCCTTTTTATTGTCCTCTTTTTTATGGTCCACGTGTTTCTTGTGTACCTTTTTCTCGACCACCACCGGCTCCTCGTGTTTTTCTATCCTATTGGATTGTAAAAATGATCAGGCTAGTTTTATATAAACTAGTTAATAGATAAATAAGTGTAAGCAAAATAAATTATTTAAATGTTCTAGTTAAAATTAAATATTAAAGTTTATAATAGTTTGTAATAGTTTTTTATTAAATGTCATTATACTAGTAACGTATTAGCTATTGTATCTAGATTCTATTGTAACTTTTTAACATATATTTGAATTAATTTTATAGTGAATATTCATATATACCGCGAAACATGACGTTAGGATACAGTAGCCGACGCCGTTACGCGACGTTAGCCATAGTGGCCATACTGGCGCTGGAACTGGTGCTGATCCAGCAGCACATGACACCCGTGAACGCCGGGGTCATCAAATCCATACTGTCAGCCCTATTTCTACATAAGATTAAAAGTAACGTTTAACCTTTGAATCCATTTTCTCTTGTTTTGCTGATCACTGCTTTTTTGCCTGATCCCTGTCCACTGTCCATATGCTGAATGCAATAATTACCCCGGTGCTTTGCTATTGGAATTAGAGCACAAATCGGGAGCCATACATGAGTTAACAGGGGCATTACACAAAGGGATTCATTTTCATTTTCATATTGATTTTCATGGGGATACCAGTCCCACTACCGATGATACCCGTACATTTCAAGTAAGTATCATTTTGAATTGCTATTATAATCACTACTGTGTATAGTTTAAATAATTTCAATTAAGTTAATAAGGATAATTATTGTAAGTAACTCGCTGCATTTTATGTAATAGTAAAGATAATTTTAATGTAATTTGTATATGCTTAATATTTATATATTTAAAATAAAGTTATTATATTGGTATATTATCAAAAATTATATAATAGCATTAATAAAATACTGTGCAATATATTAAATTAAACACTTTTTTCTAAAACATTAATTTTTTATAGTATCCGGCTATTTATAAAAAGCCTGATGATTTTACGGCTAAATATGGTAGAATAACACAAGCAGCTAGTGGTGATCAAAAAAAGTACCCAACTCAACAAGCCATATTTTGGTAAACTCATTTGTGATTATAATTCATTTCAATATATTTCTAATATTTTATAATCCCTTAAAATCTATTAAAAGTTTTAATAGTAAATAATCATTACAATTTAATTTGTTTAATTAAATACTAATAATCGGTGGACGTATAATACTGTACAGGTATAATGCAATATTAGACGTGGTATAGAGTATAACATTAGGATACTGTGTAGGAAAAGTTCAAAACATTTAAAAACCTTATTGGAAATAAATTACATAATTAAAATTATTATAACAACAAAATTATGTATAAAATACTAAAATTTTTGATCTCAATATTTGTTATAAATATAATATGTAATGAATTATACATTAGCTGCCAATCGGGTAACTCAACAGAATTGCTAGCTAAGGTTTGTCCCTTATTTAATTAGTACTAGGTATTATTAAAATTAGTAGCAATTAAATTACTTGTAATTATTTTGCTAAACATATGCCCATACAGTATAACATCGATATAAGCTACATAGTCTGGTAAAATAATATATACATGCATATAATTAATGTTTGCTTATTTTATTTATTAGGTAAAGCTAGTCAAGATATTTTAAATGGTGCAAGATACATAAGCTGGACTTTTCTGATAAAAAGCATATCACCAAGGTGTGTTGATTATAAAAACCTACAATAACTATATAAGTTTTTGACTTGACTATCTATATCTAACTCTCATATGTTTATCTCATAAATTTTCATATTAAAAAATAAGTTAAATTGTTACATTTATTTTATACGCTAGATCGAAACAGTATTCAAACCGTACCGGTACCTAAAAACATCTAAATTCATCCAGCAAATGGCCCTATGGGTGTGCAAACACCCGGAACCTACGGCGCTGGATAGCCACGCGGTTGGGAACGGCATAGACTGCTCCGATACCACCGAAATACCCAACGACTACCGGCTCTGTTTTAACTTGTTTTTCAACATGGATAACCCGGATAGTAGCTTTGACACTGGTGATAATAACGCTATAGCAATGGGCGATGAGAACTCCAAGTACCTGATGCTGAACGTACATTTTAATTTGAGTAACCCAGGTTATATTGGCAGTGAAATTGAAACGGGTATGAGATTCTGGTATACGGATGAGTATAGACAGAATGAGCTACAGCAATTAATTACCGGGGCTCATTTGTCCCTGTTGGGCACCCTGTTGGGCACCCTGTTGCCGGCTAAAAGGCAAACTATAGTAAATGTTGGTCACTGTAGTGGAAAGTGTTTTAAAGAGGTGTGACCTAGTTGATTTTTAAACACCAAACAGATTTATTTATAAGTTGCTATTTTATTATTTATTGAAATAGATGATGCCGTCCGAGGGTATTACCCTGACACATGCCTACCCGGTGTTTCACGATTATGGTAATAAATTATGTCCATTAATGTTGTAACTTATTTATTATTAACGTTATTTATGAGTGTTTTTTAGGGCGCAAACTTCAAACAAGGCACTTTAGAGGTAGTGAGGAATTGCCATTAATAGTAGATCTCAGTGACAACGGGTCCGATGCCCAGGCCCTGCCCTACAAGAAGTTGGACAGGGAGGTGAAGATTATGCCCAATGATATAATCACCACCGAATGCACGTACGATACTACCATGGCCAACCAGACACTCATGGCCGATGTAAGTGGCATATATATATTTTTTATAACTAGTTAAATGTTGTTGCGGTTTATTAAATACAATTTTAATTTGTATTATATTTTGTGCTTAAAGTCCTACTACGATGTGATCCAGGAGATGTGCCTGACTGTATTCATGTATTACCCTCGTACCTATAGGGAGCAAGTGTTACCCAACACTTGTTTCAGTGGTTTCAATGAGAGTACCATGATCAAAGCTACGGGTATGGATGAACACATAACAGGGTAACTATTACTAGTTTGGTTTAATATTAGATTTGGTTTATAAATTGAATTTTATAATTTATTTTGTAATACTGTAGTAACTTATAATGATAATAAATAATATATAATACAGTATAACCAAGTAAATTTACTACTATTTAGTGCAGTAATAAATATTATTTTAAAAATAATTATTATTAATAGTATTTATTTATAATTAATTTTTGTCCTAAATTTAGGTATTGGTATAAAAGTGACCCGCGAGTAGGCGATAGAAAATTGGCGGACGTTTTAGCTGAAAAAAAGCGACTGGCCAGATGATATCGGGGACATTTTGCAGTACTCCATAAAACGGATCAGGTGCAACATGATGGAAAGTTCAGACGAAAATATCCCGATTGAATACGTCAATTATCCGGACAAATTTTTACCGGAAAATTTAGTTGAGAAATACCGGTCCCGTAGTAAATACACTGAATCCCAACGGGGACGGGACTCCAATGGGGACAGAAATCTAAGGAAAACTAATGCCATGTTTGATGGCTTACAAGATTGATATAGGGATCGCAATCAGGACTCGAGTAGTGGTAGGGATAGGGACTCTGAAAGGGAGCGTAATAGAGATTCCCGAGGGAATAGTGATCGGAATTCGAGTCGGGAAAGGGATAGAGTCAGGGATCGGGATGAGTTTAGAAATCAATCCAGGGATAGCGACAAAAGTTGGGATAACGATAGGGATAAGGATAGGAAACGGGATTCAAGAGACCACGTGAGAGATGGGGAAAGCAGTTCACGGGACAGAAATAGTTCACGGGATTCAAGTGGTGAAAGGGAGCGGGACTCCCATAGGGAGAGAGATAGGGAATCGTTTAGTGAAAGGGAATCGAGACATAGGGCTGCATATAGTAATAGGGATAGGAATTCAAGTAGGGATAGGGGTAGCAATGTTGGTCCTATAAGTGTTCAGGATGGAATTAAGCTATTAAGAGATAGAGAGGATAAGGTTAAGATGATCTAGATAATTATCTGCTAGTTTCAAAATTTTGCTAAGTGTATAATTGACCGAGGTAGCAGTTTGTTATAAATGACATCATTATTTACGATTGTTGATTGTTTATATGTGATTTAATTGTTAATGTATAATTTAATTATAATCTAAAATAAATTAAAATTAAAAATAGTTTACAACACATATTAAATATAATTTGCAAATACATTTTATTAACAAGTATCATATAATTGCATTGCACCAAGGTTATATGAGCTTATCACGAGTATTTTCAAGTATACAAATTAGATACATTTATACTATATTACAAAAATTCATTATCAATTTATTATCACTTTGTAATGATTAGATAAATGGTTACAAATTTTACACCACAAAACTTATTATGAGAAAATGTTTACTTTTGCTGTATTAATTATATATTTATCGTAATCAAGGCTATCATACCTACATACAATATTATCAATCGTGATTATGGGTAACAAACATTAAAATTGTTACCCAGATAAGATTTTATACTTAGTATATAAACTTTAGCGAAACTTGGTGGTGGAGTATCAATTATATAATTATAAACTATAAACTTGTAAAAAAAGTTTTATAATAATTATAATTAAGCTAACTTTTAGCTCAAAATGTTGTTTGAAATACTATTGATTTTATTGACTATCATAGTAACTGTAGTATCATTTCTATACCACAAGTGGACGTTTTGGAAACGCCAGGGTATACCCAATGACCTCACCTCCAGGGTTGGACAACCATTTCACGTGACAGACACTGAGGCCCATAAGAAATATGGCAAAGTTCTCGGGTATATATAAAAGTTTAAATAAATAAAAACTAGTAATAATTAGTTTTAAAATTATTTGTGTACTCAATTTAGTTTCTACGAGGGCTTGAATCCCGTGCTATCCATAACTGATCCCAATTTAATCCGCAAAATACTGGTCACAGAGTTTCATAACTTCGCTAACCATAGGGTGAGTAGTAGTGATTACTTTACATTATCTAAATATAATCATTATTTTAAGTATAAATACTATTTATAAGGCTATATTGTAGGTTACATAAAGCATAATTAAATATAATGATACAGTATGTTATTACAATACAAGATCACTTTAGTATTGTATTATTATTAACAAATAGTATTTTAATAAAACTATTAGCCCTTAAAAATGTAACAAGTATTACTATCGATTTTAAAATCAATATTAGGTGTGTATAAAATAATTAAACTAGTACAAACTAATACATTTAGAACTCATACAAAAATCAATAGAAATATAATCAACTAAAATAGCAATAAAATATACAAAATATTAAAATAATTTGTCAAAATATTTGAGTTATTAAATAATAATTATCATTAAAAAATATATATTGAGCTAATCATAAAAATGATTACTAATATAATATATATTTACATATATATTGCAGGAGTTTGCGGACGAGTCGGAGCCCATACACACGGGTATTTTCTTTGCCAAATACCTCCATTGGAAACGAGTTCGCGCGATATCGTCGCCGGCATTTTCATCCGGCAAACTCCGGGCAATGAAGTCCATATGCGAGACAACTATGGATCAACTGATGGCCAAACTGGACACCAAAGCCAGGGATCAACAGATCATAGACTTCCGGCAATATTCAGATCAACTGGCTTTTGATGTCATATCAAAGGCTGCTTTCGGTGTAAACGCCGACACTATTAACAAACCCGTGGATAACCCGTTGTTTGAAGCGGTTAAGAGTCTGTTTCAATGTGATCAGGGTATTGTCGATAGTATAGCCTACTTGGTGCCGGCGCTGCGAAAGTTCGTCAAAATACCATTTTTTAATATGAAGAGTCAGATGATTATCAACGATAGCATAAAACACGTGATAAGGGAGAGGATTGCGAAGAATATGGAGGTCTCGGATCTGCTCCAGAACTCCATAGACGCCAGTGTTTTGTCCACAAAAGACATTAATAGGAATAATAGCGATGAACAACATGAAAGTAAGTTGATCTTGTCCATTTTACAATTTACTGTATAGTTTGTAGCCTTATAATTAATTTCGTTTAAACAATGATTTATAAATAATTAATTTTATTACAAATAATGGTTAAATGTATGATAAAACTCTCTCTCTCTCTCTCTCTCTCTCTCTCTCTCTCTCTCTGATAATTTTAAACTAAATTTTTATTTCTAATTATATATAATATTATGATTATAGAGTTAACCGAAGGGGAGGTGTTGGGCCAAAGTATTAACTTGTTTGCGGCCGGGTATGAGACCACTGCCACCACACTGTCATTCCTCATCAGACAACTGGCCCTCGAGTCTAGCCATCAGAATAGACTCGTCGACGAGATTAAGACCACATTTG